AAAATTTAAAGTTAAAAATTAAAAAACGTTCAAGTAAAATATTCAGGCTCCTTCTTGGTGAATCGTCCCAATGGGGGAGGCGTCAGCACAGGGTTGTGTGGGCTTGTGGTCGGGTGTATCTTACGCGATGTGTATTGCGTACTGCATTTACAACAAATCATGAAAACACTGGCACAGCTCAACATCCACAGTATGTAGTTAATTGTGGAAACTATTACGTATATCGGAGTGTAAAGCACAACACTTCCCAGTATCTTGTATGCAGGTATAGCACTTGCATCTAAATAAATAAAAAAAAATAAATAAGTGACCAAAATATATATTGTTGCACTTGACAGAAAATCTATTGACAATTGGTGATTAATAGTGTAACGGACCAAAATGAAACAATTCAAAATGAATATCATATTTCCAGTATTCTATAAGATATATTATTATATTTGCCAATTATTGTCCAGTACTGAAGTAGAAGATGAATACCATATTTCCAATATTCTGTAAGATATATTATTAATTTTGCCATATAATCTTGTGCATTGCTGAAATGAAAGATGAATATCAGATTTCCAGTATTCTATAAGATATGTTATTATATTTGCCAATTATTCTTGTCCAGTACTGTAGTGGAAGATGAATATCAGATTTCCAGTATTCTATAAGATATGTTATAAGAGTAAAGATATCCCTGTAACAGGCCATGAAGGCCATAGGGTTATGAGATGTTGAGGCTTCCACATTTTCTAGACAGTCAGCTTATAGATGGCGATAAGGTTGTCAGCCTTATGCACACCCCCCCCCCCGGAATATTCCTTGTACTCATTTCTGTTAGAGGCTGAGTCGACCCCAGGCCCATAGTGCGGCTGGAAGGATTAGGTAAATTGAAAAAATCCACCTCATCGTGACTCGATCCTGCGACCTTCTGGCTTGTATTATATTTGCCATTTATTCTTGTCCAGTACTGAAGTGGAACATGAATATTATATTTCCAATATTCTATAAGATATGTTATTAATTTTGTCAAATAATCCTCTCCAGTACTGCAATGAAAGATGAATATCAGATTACCAGTATTCTGTAAGATATGTTATTAATTTTGCCAAATCCTGTCCAGTACTGAAGTGAAAGATGAATACTATATTTCCAGTATTCTGTAAGATATGTTATTCATTTCGCCAAATAATCCTGCCCAGTACTGTAGTGGAAGATGAATATCAGATTTCCAGTATTCTGTAAGGTATGTTACTCTTTCCCATATAGATTTCAGTATTCATTGTAATTCTGTAAGATATGTTATTAATTTTGCCAAATCCTGTCCAGTACTGAACATCATAATGAAATTAATAATAAATGGAAACGTCAGTATTACTGCTTGCTATATATGATTTATAATGCTTTAATGTAACCAAAAATCCATGTTCTGTGAGGCTTTCAAGTGTAAGTTGTTGCCAAAGGTGTGAGGTTAAATAGAAGTATGTGTGATGGAAACAGAATTTTCTTTAAAGTTCGCCACCTTCAGCTTTCCAAAACACAAGCATTCTATATACATTATAGTTCACAATGTCCAATGCATTTGGGTAAGGAGATTTTGGATTGATATGAATGAAATGTTATGGCTTTACAGGCACTGGTGAGAAACTTTCTGATTTTGCAGTATCACTTCACTCGTGCCCTGTGGAATGGATATGAGTGAAGTGATATTGAACCCAGTTCAGAAAAAGAAAAAGAAACAACAGAGCAAGAACCTCTGCAGCACAAGAGATTAAGTTCCAAAAGCAGGCGCGGCCCGTGTATAGGCACTGCGGAACTGCAGCACCCCCAATTTCCACTTGATATTATCGATAACATTTATGTAATGAGTCCTTTTTTCTTTAATTCTTTCTTTATACTTGTACAATACAATATATAATCCTTAAGCTTAATGTCAGTAGCCAAATCTTTGTGTGGAACTGTGAGTTTCACATTTCCAGTGGCGAGGTGTTCGTTGACTGTGCTCACGCGCACATAGGAAGCTACACGCGAGGCTGCAAGGGAGAGGGAGCACTGCAGGAACGACAGTGTGGCCCCTGGCGTGCTGGTGGAAGGTAGTTTTTTTTTTTACTCCGGGTGTGTTGTGCTTAAAAACTATGAGTTAATTGTAGAATTAGATTATTATCCTGCTTCCAGCTATTCTATTTGATTCATTTTTTTTAGGTGTTCTTTTATTTAAAAGAAAACTTTAACCATGGCCTTGCATCCCCGAGAAATAAGTTCTGTGACTGTAAGTGAACTTCAACAGCTTAAGTTTTCACAACTGTCTCTCCATGAGAAAGTTGCAGTTAAGAAAAGAGGTCGTTTAACACCTGATATTCTAATATCTCAGCCAGGCATAAGCAAGAACAAGAAATATATTCGTAGCTTTAATTCTGAATGGTACAAACGGAAAAGTTGGCTTTGCGGCTGTGAAGTAAAAATGCGCTGTTTTGCTTCCCGTGTTTGCTGTTTTGGGGTGATGTAACAGGACAAAAGATGGTTTTAGAAATATAAACAAAATGAAAGAAGAAAATTGAGAAGCATGAGAAGTCAAAGAAGCACGTTGATAATGTAGTTTCACTGTCACTTTTAGGAACCGTAAATATTAAGGAGAAACTTAGTGAGGCATACAGACTTTCAATCAATGAGCATAATATAAAGGTTAAAAAGAATGGATTTCATTTTTAAATGAATAGATTAAGCTTGAACTGCAAGAATTTAGGTTAAAGTAAGTAAAAATTGTTTGATTTTGTTCTTTTAGGATTTTATCAAGTTTCTGAATAAATTTTCTTTTTATACATGTTTGTTTCCTTTTATACAATTTTAAAACAAAGGCTACAAATTTTCTGGAGCAGCAGCCCCACTAATTTTAGCTAATTTTAGCGTTCTGTTTTATTGATGATGTCGGTGTTGGTGGGCATTGTTCATTTAGTCAGGACATGTCTGCGTAGAGATGGCAGCAGTAATGCTACGTGGCGTCAGCGCGGTCAAGTGCTCCACACCTTATCACTGAACTTCGGGGTTGGTGGTCTTCCATGGTACCACTACAACTTCTGTTTTGAGCAGTTTTTTTATGTCATGTGTGTTCATACCGCCAATTTCATATATAGTGCAGCTGTACTTAATGTTCGTAATCCCCAACTTAAATTCCCATATTATTAATGAAACATTTAGTTATGTCACAAGTCATATGCATAAACAGGACGTCGTACACCTTCGGTTCCCATCGTTCCCATCATCCTCTACGCGGCAACCATAGTTGACCTAGGTCTGCTTGTACGTAATCCCCTAAGAAGAGGTTAGTGAATTTTATTGTACATGGTACAAATAAGTACGTTTTATATGACTGTGCAAACTATTTCAGTTCTAATCGAAGTAATGAATAATTTATTTGGTATTTATTTGTTATATTATATGTAGTTTTAAGGATGGTTTGTGATTCTGATCTGTGAATGAAATCAAACATTCAGAGTTTGAGGTTAAAGGAGTCTCGTGGTCCGTATGAAGAAAAATCACAAAACACAGGTGCCAGTTTTAGTATTGTAGTTTAGCTGCCTATTCAAGTTATGATGGTAAAATATGAAGAAAGGGTATGTCTAATAACTGTTGTAGAATATAATTCATAATGGCTGATGCGGAGAAGCCTGCGAAGTCGAAAACGGAGAAGAAACCGAAAGAGAAAAAAGAAAAAGTGCCCACAGAGAAACCAGCGGAACGACCTCCACTGAAAAAACGACCAAAGAAACGCCATGGTCGGCTGTACGCAAAAGCAGTGTTTACCGGTTACAAAAGAGGCCTGAGAAACCAGCATGAAAACACCGCGTTGCTGAAGGTAGAAGGCTGCACCAAGAAACGTCACAGCTGGTTTTATGTTGGAAAGCACTGTGTCTTTGTATACAAGGTATGTGACAGTACACATAAAGGTGAAAGACTCCTGTAAAGATAACAATTAGAATTTGTGCAACTTATTTTCAACTGATTTTGCAGCACAAACAAATGGCCCCAGACCATATTGTTGATCTTGTCATTGAGGAATGAAAGTACATATAGACTGGCTTTCCACGAATTTAATGGCATGCTGCTAGTAATGAAGTACTAACAATTTAGGTGGTAAAGTAATTCTGTTTGAATCATGTCCTGTGCTTACTTGAAGAATGTGTAACAAATGCAGTAAACCCTCGCTAATCTGAATTAACGAAGCGAAAGAAATAGCCCTAGAAGACAATAAAAACTTAGAAAACAAATAAATGGAAAATTTAATAATATAGATAGTGCTGATGGAAGCAAATAAAAAATATCACTGTAGACCCTTTATTTAAAAACTATCAAAAGACAAGCTGTAATCCAGGGTCTCCATCCAGTTCAAGCCAATCTTGGATATTTTCTTGCATGGTTTCAGTCTCCCCAGCTGCCCTCAGGACAGTGTGAAAGTCCTCTTACTCCTATATCTCATGTGTCTTTTAAAGTATATACTCCACTGTGAGCAGAATTTTTCATGGTTCAGCCCAGATTAACTGTAACTGGATTAGCGAGGGTTCGTTGTGTAGCTCGCATGTATGATTAGGTTAGCGTAATGGTAACGCAGACATATTTCTGAGATTCTCTGTTCAGATTTTATCTGGGACACTGCCTATCCTGATTGAGGGTTTTTATGGTTTTCCTCAGTCTTTCCCAGCAGTTACTGGGATATTACCTTGATTAGGCCACTGCTTCTTCCAGCTCCTTTCCAATTTTTTACCCATTTGCCATCCTCTATTGGACACTATATAGTGCGGCTCCAGGCAGCATCATAAAATAACCTATCAGAAGAAAAAGAATTATGCATCTTGTTGTATGGTAGTTACAGGGAGTAGAATTTGTATGAGAGATTTTTTCTATTTTATGAGATTATTCTTTTTATGTGCATGATTGTTTATTATCTTCCAAGCATTTAGTGATAGTTTTTATTTTAATTTGTTTCACATACTAATTAGGATGCCTGGAATATATATATAGTTTGTATTTTAATTTGTTTCTCATTCTGGTGATTAGGATGCATGGAATGTATATATAGTTTCTATTTTAATTTCACATTCTAGTGATTAAGATGCATGGAATATATGTATATAGTTTCCATTTTAATTTTTTTCACATTTTAGTTATTAGAATGCATGGAATGTATGTATTGTGTCATGCAGTATTAGAATTCTGTATTATGTATCACAGATTATTACACTTCTTTAGTCTACTTTCTTTCTTAAGGGAAAACTATAGGCATACTGTGCAGTTTGTGTATTCTTCCCATTTTCAGCTTTTGAAACAGTTGGTTTCCACAGTGGTATAGGAATGTATACCATTAGAGGCTGCTAACATCATCATGCTTTATGTTTCTTACATGGCAGCTGTATGAACTTGAGAAGTGGGAGTGACACGTAGGAATTGTGTTGAACTTTATTTGGATTTCAGTTTGTTGTCTATAGCTGCTGGATGTCTGAGATAGGAGTAAAAAATTATGCATGAAGATGGATTATAAACACTGTTGCGAATTGTATATCAATTAATGTTGAAGCCTCCAATGACAAACAAGGTGACTGTGAAATTGAGCTTTTATCTGACAGATCTAGTGTAGGCAGAATGCGTATATAAGAAATGACAGCAGTGGTAATAAGGACGGTAACAGCAACAGTAGGTGAACTATGCAAGACTTGGAAGTTTTCATGGTGACTGGTAATGAAGAAATCTTGGTTGGTCAGCTGCATGAGTTCTTTTATTCCAAACTAAAGCAGCTGAGTTCCCAAGAAGATTTTTTTTCACTAGCAGCAAAAATTTGTGTCATACAATTGAAAGCAGTAAAGGAATCATACTCTTTTTAAGATATGATTCTGTGATCATCCATTTGTGATTTCAGTCTACAAATCTGCAAGTTAAATTGTATTGTGACATGTTGACCCCTACCTCCCCAGCGGTACGCGGCAGTAACGTAACGCTCGCGTTACTACGGTAAGAGGCGAGTTCCCGCCCCGCCACTCCCCTCCGCGGTGACGTAACGCGCAGCGCTACGTACCCGTAATCAACTTCCTACTGTGACGTGGCACTCATTACGCAACCGGCAAGCACTGCAGCTATATAAGTGAGCTGCACAGCTGGTACCAGGCAGTTCTAATGTGGCTACCAGAGAGTTCTACTGTAGCAGTCGGCGACTTCAGTTGTACAGTGACAGCCGCCGAGTTATAATGTGGACATCCCTCGAGTTAAGTAGTCGACGAGCGAGTGTGTTATCAACAGTTCTCCAGTCAGCCGACTATAGTTGAAACATAGCAGCCTGCGAGTGTGCGATAACTAAGAAGTCAGCGAGCGGAAGACTTATTGTGTGCTTTCCAGACATAGTGTTTGCTGTAGTACAGTTATACTCGGAGTGTGTATTTCAGGGAGACTTGTATAGCTCCCGCGTTAGTAGTACGTGAAGACAAGTGAAGATCGTGTTAAGTGACTTTGTTGTAGGGTTTGTAAAGTGTGGAAACCCGTGATATTGTGATAATTAATTGTAGCCGTTATTTGTAGATTGTTAAATAAACCCAATTAACCATCTCTACGGCGTCTTCGGTAACGTAAACACGTTACAATACGTTTCGTTTAAACACATTTGAATCAGCTTAAATAGTTTCATGAATATCCCAAACTCTATCAGAATACTGTACATTACTTCCCTTCTAACTGAATCATAGGCTTTCTTGAAGTCTATGAATAGCTGATGTACTGTCTCATTTTACTCC